ATAAAATTGGAAAAGCTGTTTCATATTTAATTGTCAAAGACTTTTAACCTGCTGCATAGTGGACACTATTCAAATATTCACTAAGTAGATCACTTTAGTAAGTTAGAACTGAGCATTTGAGAAATATGTAACACAATTGTATTTCATTTAACAATATTGTAATTATGAATTTAAGAAGCAATTATTTTCTATAAATTAATCAGCCTTTTTGTGTCGCACAGTTGCCAACACAATACATTTAAAATGATATACAGTCCTTGAGTAAACATACTTTGTTATTTTCCACCACATACTGCCACCTCTACAGCTGTCATTGTTAATTATGTAATACTAGTTCTACTACAAATAGCCAAAACCCAATTTATCTGCTGCCTCTTAATAAATCGTCAGAGATGTTACATTTATGATTTAACCCTTAAGCTACAGGACATATCTTTCACCCTGAGATGTGTTCTTCATTTGGATACTACAGCTGACCAGGGAATGTCATTGATGTCTGCTGTAGCACTCTCTTACATAAAATACATGTTGATTCACCTTCATATAAGTAAATAATACATAACAGAAAACAATAATACATAACACAAACAATTCAGGTGTAGTATTACATATAGTTGATATGTTCATTGTGAGCCATGGATGTATACAGAGGTTGTGAGCACAACACACTGATAGAAAAGCTTTGATTTCCTGAAACCTGAATTTGTATTTCCTGTAAATTGAGAGGGGAGGAGCAACACTCATCATGTGATCCAGGAACAGAGCAACAGGAAGCAACCCTGACACTGATATGTTCAGTGAGTTAAGTTTCCATTTCGATGGAAGCACAGGCAGGGTAAGTGTTCATTTTATTAGTTGATTCCCGTGTGGACTGTGGAGGAAAGACATTTTAGAATGAACTCAACAGTAGTGATGGCAAAATGAAGCTTTGAATGAAGCGTCGAACCACTTGGACAATTGTGTCGGAAATAGGTTCATTTCTCGAAGCTTCAGTTACAGCGACCTCTCCTGGCGAAGTGTAAGGCTGCAGTGGGTTTAACGTATCTTTGCCTTGAAAAATATTCGATGCACACACACTAAGACTGAATATCATGTTCTATTTGCAATGAAAGATTGATAATTGTGTGTATTGGGTTATTGAGAAGAGTCTAGAGAGTGCTGGACATTTTTTTGGGTGGAGAGGGCCTTTTATCAGTCATTAAAGTATTAAAGTTGAAAAGCAATGATTACAAGTTTGACTTTTCCGAGCTTTGAACCAGCTGCGCGGAGGACATCGCCGCATCCTGGCCGCAGGCTCAATCCATTGGGCTATCTATTCCTTAGACCAGGGGTCTGCAACCTTTTTGAGCAAAAGAGCTATTTTGCTCCTTTTTCCAAAACATTTTTTTGTCTTGAGCCGCAAAACATATTTCATAGCTTGATAGCTAATAAAGTTGTATTTATTGTTATATCAGACAAAAACTACAGTTTTTTTGCATTTATTAGGCTATTTATTACATTATATAAAACTGTTAAGCTCTAATAAGAAACAAAGAACTCCTATAAGGAGAATTACAAATAATACACAGGCCTACTTTAAAATAAATTAAACACAGTACTTGGGGAGTCCTCTGCACATTTGAAGGAAAAAAATATATTATTAAAATGGGCCCACTTTGAAATAAATAAAACATATAGCTGCACCCTAAAAATAGTTAAAGGTAGAGTAGGTAAGAATGGAGAAACCAGCTCGAGTGCGCTAGAATTTGGGGGGGTGCTAGTGGATCGCCGGAGCTGTTAGATTAACATGCTTATTGTAGTTGTAAGTGCACTGCCTTGCGGCCTGTAGTAGCACCGTCCTTGATGGAGCATATGTGTGGGCTGGACCTGTATTTTACAGGAAAGGAGTGAGCAGAGAGTAGAGTAGTTGTCGATTATTTTTCTGTTTTCTGTGAATATCTGCCTCACCACCCTCTCAGACTTTGAGTTGCGCGCGCTACTAAAGAGACGTGTTACCATGGAAACCAAACAATGGTGTAGCTGTATTAAAGTCTGAGTGGAAACAGTTGTGTGTAAATCTGTTTTGTCAGAAATCGGGAGAAATGCGGGAGAAATATGACCCCGGGAGNCATTATATTGTACATATTTCTTGATTTAAGCTCCAGTATATGAATATGTTTGGTGTGTTTTTTTAGGTATATTTGTTATTGACCGAGTAAACGCTTTTATTTTGAAGGCAGTTTTTACATGCCCCTACCGTAATGCATAGGATACTCGCGCACCGCAATACAACGTGCGGGCTGGCTTGACTGTGTTTTTCGAAGTGGGGGCTGGCTTGACCACAGTCTGTTTACCCAGTGTTTCCTGACATGAAACGTTTTATTTAACCTTGCTATGTGTTTTTAACGTATATTAAAAAACGGGGACATTTCCGGGGACAGTTTCAATCGGGGACAGGTCAATACAAACGGGGACTGTCCCCGGAAAACGGGGACGTCTGGTCACCCTATGTTAGAAACAATTCACTCACAGATCCATAATCATGAAGGTGGAATCTAACTATATTCATAATAATATTTATTGCATCCATGGGTAGAAACATGTTTTTTTCTGCTGTAAAGTTGGGCATTTTAACATGGGGGTCTATGGAAATTGCTCCTTTCTGCAGTCATTCCCTATCGGCCAATATATGAACTGCAGTGTGTGCCACTTCCGTATTGGCGTCCCGGCTCTTCCACAGAGTTTGCCGCTTGGGTAAAAACATAGACTGTATATATGGGGGGTAAAAAGCTAAAAGCAAAAACGCCTCTCAGACGCTCTTCCGTTTACGTGTTTAATAAAGAAAAACAATTGGACGGTAGATACACGGATTCATTTGCCCGAGGCAAGGAGTGATTTATACGAATCCCGTTGAAATAAAACTGAACAAATATTCATAGTTTATTCCTTTATTCAGTTACAAAAGCATGATGACTTCCTTCCAGGACACTTTGGTTGAAAAGAAATAAGTTATTTCTCAAAAGTCTGATTGCTAATAGTTTAATTATTTAACTTTTCTTTTAAACTGTGAAACCAAGATCAACATTTTGATTTTAAAACCGTACAACCCTTTCCAAAGTTTTAAAAAACAACTATGTTTCTGGTGATTAGATTCCAGTAGTAAAATACTGTGAAAAAGGAAAACGACAAAGAATATTCAAATGGTGTTAAATTTCAAGCACAAAACACCAACAGGAAATTCTTTTTGAAATTGCAACAAAATAAGATGAAATGAACTCAAAACTGGCTTAAAACAACATTAGCGTCTAAAGATTACTCAACATCATGTGTTTTATATTTTACACTCGTTAAAGTGTATAACACTTTCCCGGCACCCAACTCTCCTTTATAATACAAACATTGAGTGTCTTTTTTTTAATTATTATTTGTTTTTTTTACAAATCTTTTATGGCATATAAAACATCTGTCTGAAGGTAAAGCCTCTGTTGGAGAGAGCTGTGCCGTGTTCTAATTAATACAACATCAGCAAAAGAAAACGCATAGATGGGGGAAGTAAAGGAAAAGTACTCACGCGGTAGGTAACTAATTCAGGTACGCTGAGGCATGATGGGAGCAGAACAAACATTTCACTGGGGGGAGAGAAAAGCCTTTTATATACATAATAGGTGGAGATATGTATGATTTCAGTAAACTCTGACTGCCTATTTTTCTTGCTTGTATGACAATCTAAACAAAGAGAGAGGTCATACATTGGATTTGGTACTATATTTTTTAAAGCAGAAACTCAGAGGAGAAGAAAAATAATATGCAGGCAGCAGTGGAAGCAGGGGGTGCCGCCTTTGTACAGACGCTTGGCCTCTGCTGTGAAATTAGAGGTCAGCAAGACTGTGCCGTACATAATCTACAGCTGACCTCTGGCATCCAGCAGCAGCGAAAATCCCATTTCAAGCAACAACCTTCTAGTCACCTTAAAGTAAAAACCACACCTTTGGACACTGTCTGACTCTCAGATGTCGACCGTGAGTGGAGATGATGATGTTCAGTGCATTTCAGGGCTTATGTTGTGATGAATTACTGCAGTTTTATGATTTCTTATACATTACTCCTCATCTTTCATCTACCCGAAACGAGAGTGGATGCTTGTTTTGGAAGAAGGCACAGAATGTACCCTTTATATAACCTCGGGCTGGGAAGCGTTATTAAAAGTTTTATTCCAGCTATGGCAGTTTTCACCTATAGGATTTAAAGTTTAAAGGATGAGGCTGTCCAAATTCAATATTCTTCTTGTTGTCAACATTTCCTATGAAAAGACTACAACTGACAATAAAGTAATCTTACAATCAAGTATCGCCTTTGTATTTGCTATTGTATTTTATTTAAAAACATATGAATGAGCCACAGATTCTGGCTGAAATATTCTTTAATTAATTTATAAATAAGGGCACTGTACCACACTTCCCGGCTGTTATATATACTTCATATAGTATATATACCAGTGCATCAATTGTGTATTAATCCGTCGCTGAATTACAGTTCCCAACAAATGCTCTATGTATTTCTGTTTAAAGTGGACCTATCATGCTATATTTGAAACATATATTGTAGGGCCATACCTATCTAAAACATGTCTGTGAAGTTTTTTTTTCAAAATACCAAACAGATCATGCATTTTAGCCATACCTCATTTCGCTCTGTTTGCTCTATTCCAGCCCTGTCTTCACAAGGGCCGACTCTGTGGCAAATGAGCTGCAGCTGACCACGCCCCCCTGCAAAGGAGGGGGGCGAGGCACGAGCGTCATGTTACCATGCTGTTACCATGCTGTTACCATGCCACGGCAACCTCTCCTTCCTCTGATAGGTGGAGAGTTGCCCATATAGGCGGAGCACCCCGTTTCTGACGTCAGAGATATTTCAAATCTCTATCAGTCTGTATCAGATCCGTTGCAGCCCCGTTTTTAGAGATTTGGGTATGGAGGAAAAGAGAGCGGGTTGTGTTTTCTGACACTTGGTGACTTCCCTGACACACCTGGGACACATATTCATGTATAAAAGACGTACAAAAGCATGATAGGTCCCATTTAAGTAACATTTTCACAAAACTACATAACCAAGTCGGTTGTTTTAGCAAAAATACCAAGCATTCTTTAAATTTAAAACATTACATTTGTGAGATGTTTTTAATATGTACGCCTTCTGTAGACACGAGCGGGGTAAGGAGTTAAGAAGTTTTAAATCCCATCGAAACATTACACATTCATTAAGAAATGCAAAATCAAAGTCATAAAAACTTGTTAAGTTCATTAATAGTTTAACACTGAAAAGTAATCAGCTTTGTTGGGATTACGTGGGTGCTGTTTCATCCGATTTGTTGGATGGCAAACTGAAAATGTCATCACATATTGTGTCATATATTGCCAAATCCTTCAAATAGATGACATCCTGTTGTTGTGTTTTTTCACAATATTTGTTGACAAAAATAAAATATATAATTATGCCAGCCTTATTATTTTCTTTCATTGAAATTGCCTGTTATGACCCGAAGTCTGTTTTCTGCTATGTGTACCACTAACGGACATAACGACACTAGAAATGCAAAGCACATCACCAATAGTCATTTTGTGTTAGAAGTATTGAAATGGTGGAATTTTGGTTTATCATGCCAAACCGAGGCAGTCTGCCCTTTGTCATCTCTGCCCTCTGCTGTTCAGGACCCGCCGCTCTAATTCTGTTTACATGACATCTGAAAAAGGAAGAACTCTACAGCCAGGCAGTATGGGACAAACGGAAACCTTGACAGTTAATAAACACGGACAAATGTGAAGGTGAGTCTGCCAGTCACATCGCATGTTTCAATTCTAAGCTAGCTAGAGGAGGCCAATTTCCCCTTTATAGGTCGCGCACGATCTGCAGGGGATGAATTGAGTGGCTTCACTGCCAATATCAATAAAAACTGAATACAGCTGAAAATACATCACAGGAGGGAGGGAATTATGCAGCTCCAACAATAGTTTGAAGAATATTTTCTGCAGATTATATCTGAATCTGTCAATCATTGTTCTTCAATGTTTGCTGCAAATAGACTCCCCAGTATATCAATGGATATGCTATGAATGTCACAACAGTAGAATACAGTGTAAGGTCACTCAGTACTGTACAAAGCCACGGAGTAATGTGTCAGTGTTTTGTTTTTTTCCTGTTATAGCCTTTGTTAGGTCAAGTGATTTCTGAATCTCTGACTAAATTATGAACTCTTACCCAGGAGAAACAAGTGTGTATCTGTGTGTATGTGTGAGAATGGTCATATGGCACAAAGACAAGGCATGTTGTGTTAAAATGAGGTGTAGCAGCAATGCATGTTTGTTGTGGCCTGGTCAACTGCTGATGTAAACAGTGTTCACCTTCAGTTGCGGATAAATCGAATCAACCTTTTGACAAATATCTTTGAGCTATTACAGTTTTGTAAAACCATATACTTTATCTTAAAATCTGTCTTTGCTCCTCAGAGCACTTTGTCGTCCCAAAATGGCGTGTAAATGTGAGAGGGAAAGAGAACAGGAGTGTCCCAAAACAATATGAAATCATTGTAGCAGTCACAAGTGTTTGTCCACCCCTGCCACATCTGTGCAAAGACATGTTCCATCAGCCATCAGAAAGCATCTAGGTAGTACAAGGTCAGCAGTGGAAGTGAAGATATTGCACAAGCAGACTTACGTCAACAGCTCCATCGAAATGGCACAGCGCAGGCGTCACACTAAACAATAAAGTAATTTTTTTCCCACAAAAATTAACACTGTAAAAAATTCCAAAAACACGCCCCGTTGACGGCTTCTTTATTGCAGCACAAATTCCTTTTTTTTTTTTCTCAGTGTCTGTTTTTTCAAACATCCACTTATTAAAAAAAATGTTGCGAGTCTCAGTTTTGTAATGAGCGGTTCGAGAGTGCATTTTGGCAGTAGGTAAAGTCTTGTTCAAGTCGGGCACGTTGACAGCCAGGAGGAAAGATGGGTCAAACCAAACAGCCATGATTTTTGAGATTTAGAGTCTTGTGCTCTTTTTCTGCCTCACCCTGCCTATTCCTCGCCGCCAGCACAGTCATGTGAGGATCACATGCCGGAGGCACCCAGTCCCATGCTGGCGGTGTGGCTCATACAGGGCAGCGTCTGAACGGTCTTGGGGAAGTCGTGGGTGAGGATTCGTCCGTTCTCTCCGCCGCTTCCGTTGCCACTCATTCGGGTCAGGGTGGAGCAGCGCATGGCGTCGTTGATGGATTTCTGAAGACAGAAACATAAAAGGGATTATAGTTAGTCCACATGCAAGATCTCACTCTTACACACATGCATGCATTATATCCTAATCAGAGCAGAGAAAGTGAATGCAACAGTTAGAGGTAGCAGCGCAGACAATTACTATAAAAGGACTTTAAAATATAGGACAATAAAGATTATGCAGTTTCTCTTTCTTTATAAGATGAATTTAATCAGCTTTTTATGTCTTTATCTAAATGTGTTGCTGGCCCTCCAAGAAATTCAGGAGCAGATGTAGCTGTTAGGAGTCACCGGGTGCCGGTTTTCACCCTCTTAATGTGGGTCTGAGTGATATTCGCGGGTGGTAAACCGTGGTGCCGGCCGATCAATGTCCCACTCTGCAACAGGAGAAGCAGAGCAATGTGTGGGCAGTAAGAAGGGGGTTGAGGCTTCACTCATTGGTTTAATAGCTTCATTCCCCATTCTAGCGTCATAAAAGCCACTGAGCCTGAAAGCCAACCTAATGATGTGTGATACACATGTGTGTGTGTCTTTAGTGTTTGCCTGCACCCCCTATTCTATAGCTGATTCAATTGGGCAAAGCGAGTGAGATCTAGAGGAACTGGTGAGTGCTGCATGGGGTTTGGAGATTCACACCAGCCTCTAATTGGAACGCCGTTGTTGTTTCTTTCAAGCCAAACAGCATAAAGGCACTTCTGCACTAATAGGCTGCTCGCAATCTCATCAGCATACTGATCAGGAGCCTCTTCGTGGGCTGATTAAAACGTAAGAGACTCATGTTGAAAATCAGTCCTTGTCTTGGCCCTGTTTTGTCTTTTTCGCTGTTTACACGGAGAGTGTGTCAGCGGGGGCCTTTGTTGTTGAAAGAATGAATCAAAGGTTGTTTGTTGCAAATTGATCCATGAAGCAGATGACTAAAAGCTACAATACCACTGCTGTCAGGAGAAATCTCACATCTCCCGATAAAATATAACAAGCAATAAGTCCTTCCTTTTAGTTTCTGGACAGACAACAGTTTGAGTTAGACTGTTCGAGGTTAGAGCAGTGATAACACACATGTACCAGGCCTGCCTTATGGTATACATATAAAGGATGTTCACCACAATGGGCCCTGCGTTTGCGAGACAGTCAGCAAAAAGAGAAGAAGGAGCAAAGGAGAGATTTGCTCAGAGCGACAGAGGTAGATAGATGTACCACTGTAATTCAAATTGCCTTTATACCTGTGCTGTAAAAGTAGTAAAACATAGTCATTTGTGAGATTATATAAATGTGTAGTAATGGGATTTAACTAGAATTTGCCTTTTTTATGTGCATTTAATTAGTTGGATTTCATATATATATAATCAAACTCAGTGAGTAACTCATATAAATCAAATCTTTATATCAACACATTGTCAATATAATAGTGTAAAGGGGATGAGAGCAAAAGGTACATTTAAAGACAACCTTTTCTCAAGATGAGTTCAACCCTGCAAAACTAACTGCCCTGAGAGGCATGTTAGAAAAAGAAAAAACGTTTTCTAAGTTAGATTTAAATAGATTTATTTTATTCAGTTTAATGTTGTAATACTCATGTCTGCCACAAGAGGCTGAAGTGCACCACTATCCCTTTAAATAAGAAGACTTTAACAACTTGACTTTTACCTTACGGCAAATTAGCAGTAAAAAGTACTCAACACAATGTAAGTATATGTGTTTGAAGTGCACAGAAATATTACATCTTAAGGGAAAACTTGGGGTAGTGGTGCACTTTTAGTCTGTAGTGGCAAACATTTGTATTACAACAACAATGACATCTTTTAACCTAGCAAATATCGTTTCCCTTCCTGTTGTGGATGAACAAAAATAATTATGAATTTCAGAAAGATTACCCCCTATTTTAAAAAAAAAAAGATGATCTTTACAGTATTGTTTCTCTCTTGGCTCTGTAGTTCTGTAATATCAGCTCAAGTGATACAAATGTAAACTTTATTAAAAAAAACAGGTATAATGGCAATTTTAGAATTAAGTGATTCAACAACATTGCAGTAGATCAGGGAAGTAAAGACTGAGCGAGGTAGCGGCAGAGTTAGAGAGAGGTACAGGACAGCGTTTGCACTGCGGTGGAAGCCAACAGAGGCACTGTGATCACGGTTAGATGGGCGGAAGGGTGAGGAGGCAGATGTCATCATCATCATCATCATCATCATGGTTTGAATCACAGCGTTTCCTACCCCATGGCTGTGCTCTGCCCTTATATCTTAACAGTGTTGTTGGCGTACAGGCCGTAGCTCTGCAGCTCTGTGTAGGGGGCGCTAGCACCACTGTCTAAGGCTGAGCAGTGAAAGGCCTGAGCGGCTGAGGCGGCAGCGGCTCGCGCGGTGGACACCTTCATTCGGCGCGACTCGGTCCTGGACTTGTAGCAGAACTCCACCAGCGCCACCAGCATGGCCAGGCCCAGGCCGCCGATCAGGATGTAGAAGACCCCCGCCACATTGCTGAGGCTCAGAGCGCTCGTCTTGTCCTGGAGGGAGGGAAGGAGGGAAGGAGGGAAGAGGGCAGAGCCAAGGGGTGAGGAAAGATAGTGGCAACAAAACAGCTTTAAACACACAGGACTAAAACACTGATTCACACACACTTAATTATAGACACACATTTGTTTAACTTAAATACATTACAGCATAGGAACACATAAATATACACAAACTCCAAACCATACACACTTAAGAGTACACATATTGTATACAGATGACCCTGAAGACGAACTAGGCCCACATAGAGACAAAATACAGCACATATAATACAAATAACATGTATAGTAAAAGACCAGAGGACAACACACACACACACACACACACACACACACACACACACACACACACACACACACACACACACACACACACACACACACACACACACACACACACACACACACACACAAAACAAAACATCTTTAACGGAACCATATTTTGGAGGCTTGTCTCACAAAGTAAGATTGAATTTGTATGCTGGATAACTTAAGATACAATATTGGCTCAAAATGGGCTATTTTAGTTTCACAAAATAGCTAAAGTAGAGGTTTTAACATCTCAACATAACTCTACACAAACTGGTACAATGAGTGTCATTGTTGTCAATAAATATATTTCAGTAGTGTAGTCAATGCTGCTCTCAATGGCTTCTTAAGAAACAGTGAAAACATTGTATAGTTGAAAAAAGCAAATAGTGAAATCCACTTCTGCATATCGTATGCATTGTAGACATCAACTTTATTGATTTAAAAAAGGACACCCAAAATGATCTCCCAGTGATTTATTCAATGTACATTTTAGTCAAAGGCATTTATCAAGTATTTGTTTTAATTCGGGAAATCAAACTCCTGATCACAAGCAAATGTATTGAAACCTTTCAATTGATAAAGAAGACACGTATTCCCTGTTTCAGGCTACCTAGCATATTCACGTGGGAGCCATATTATTGAGGCATATCTTAAAAGCTGACTGTATTGCATTCGCTTTGTGAGACAGGCCCCAGAAGATGACAATAAATACTGGTCTGGAATTAATATTACTTATTTATATAATACTAAGCTTTTGAAACAAAACCTATATTAACATTTAAAGTCAAATACTCAAACACATGTTTTTTTTTCAAAAAAAAAAATGTGTTAAGGGGATAGGGGTAAAGTAAAATGCACTCCACAACACATGCATTCATGCAGCAACAGCACAAACAAATCTTGGTTTGACATTGCTCCATTTTATAGGTCATTATTCTCTATTGCAGCGGCACTTAACTCACATTTATGCCTATTTATAGTCTGTTATGAAAGGGAAACATTAAGACTTAAATGAGTCAACCTAAAGGGCTCTCGTGAAACAATGGGGTCTCATGAGGATGTTGTTTTATGTAAATCCATTTTTGGAATATATTTGTGTCACTTGAGGAGATTAATAGAACATGAAAACACTTTATTATGCCTCTGTACTCTACCTCTACATTTGGGCTTTTATTTGTTCTATTCACTTAAACCAAACGTTTTTAATCCTATGGGAAAATTAGCATTTCAATTACATTAAGTCTGAATTTTGACCAACGATAAAGTGGATACCCTGTGAGTCAGTAGAATTATGAAAATACATTTTATACCAGGGAATATGTGTCAAACTATGTGCTATGGAGGACTGAGAGATTGCATCAAACATGGACTACACTGGTTCATTTGAAAGACCATTTAATTCTCTTCTGCTACATGTTTGTTTATCCCTGGGAGCTATAATTGCTAAGCTTCCTGGAGTCGGTCCTATGCACCAATTCCTTAAAAATATTTTAAAATACAACAAAAATTATACCACCCAAAGTAAAAAGCTACTTATTAAGTCTCTAAACCCTTCATACAGCTATTTGCGTAATTTAGGGTAGTGAGTTGGAGTAGTTTAGGAAGATGGGGATACTACTGGCAGTCAAATCTATCACATATTCAGGTTGTGAATGCTGACCAAGTATTTAAAGAATAGCTTTTTCCCTTCTTGCAGAGTGATAGATAAAAAGATCAACAGCACTGGCATTTAAGCAAGCTTATGTTAGCATTAAGACTTCGACATGTGTAAAAAGCTAGGGACATTTGGACTTGTTTGTTTATTAGATACAAAACTCTGAGGTTTACCTGGCTAATCAGTTAGCGTTAGAGGTGCTGGTAGGCAGAATTGGTCCCAATAGGCGCATTCACACCGCAGTAATTTTCCCACAAAGGTTCATGAGAATTTAGTTCATCAGAACTCTTTAGTTCTGATGAACTAAATACAGATCGCGTTCACACCGGAATAAATCCCTGGGGGTGGATTAGGCAAATTAAGCCACTGACGTCACTTCTTCTTCTGCTTTGGGTTTACTGGCAGGCCGCAAACAACTTCACGGCGTATACTGCCGCCCAAAATCCCCGGCCGGAAGTCCNCAAATGACCCCAGAAGTGTTTTTTTTTGCTAAACCTGTCTAAAAAGGTCAAATATCACTTGTTTTGCATCAATCTTGATACAGGGTACTTATTATATGTTGTACTTTGGATTCCTAAAGCTTTTAGTCTACTAACCCATCATCCAAGGTTAGTTTTAACATATTAGTAAAAAATATTTTTTGGACGGACACTATAATTTACAGTTTTTTACTATGTTCAATCTGAAATTTCTTTAAAATAAAAAACATCTATATTGATTCTGACTTTTCTACATCCAACTCACAGGTTTATCATTACTTTGAGAAAAAAGATTATTAATTTTCCCTTTTAGAAGGGAAGATATGGTCATTTGTTCTGGGAATGTCATTTTCGAGCCTGAAACCTGAAGAACAGGGATGGGGTTCAACAGGTTAAAGTTCCTTATTAAATGACACTATCAATGAATACATTCCAAAAACTTCAGCTGTCCATTGAGACTCAGTTACTTAATTCCTCCATCGCTATACTGCGAGTGCATTTGCTGCTCTCATTTCTATTCATTTTTATTCCTTTTGCAATAAAATGGGCAGACTGAATAATTGATTAATCATTGCCTTAACAAGACTAGGAAATGACAGTGCTACTTGGCAAGATTTCGCGTGCTGTAGTAAGGCGGCTTAGTTAACGTTTTACTGATGCATCAAAGTCTGCGGCTGTGCAATAATGTATGAGGAGCGGGAAGGAGGCTCAGAAGGAAGCGAGAGTTCAAAAAGAGACAAACAGAGACAAACAGAGACAAACAGGTCTGTGTTTGACAGTCGCTCTGCTCGACTAGGGAGGACTGCTGCAGGAGAATCAAGACACACACTCGCTCACACACATGTACGCACACATTTCCCTTTCTCTCAATCAGTAAATGGTGACCACGTTGTTCTTTTGCTCAGACAAACTCACACATTGTCTTCAGGAAGAAATAGTGTGAGTGTGTGTGTGTGAGGGTGTTTGTGTGTGTTTTTGCTCGTGCATAGCTGAATGCGTCAGTGTCAGTGCCAAGATGTAGGCCATTGTTGTCTGGCCCAAAACAAGCGCCTGTCAGCCCCCCCAGCATGAATAGATAGGCAGGGAGCACAGCCGAGACGTAGGGTGGATGGAGGGGAAAGGAGAAAAGAAAGCAGAGGAAGAGAGAGCAATAGAAAGGGAAAAAAGGACGATTGAAGGAGAAGGATTAGACAGCTGTTTACTGCCATCTCTGGAGGCCAGCCGCAGTCAAAGCTAAGGAGTTTGTCAGCCTCTGGTGGTATTACGCAGTTTACTTTTCATCCACGCCATTTACCTCTCTCCCTCCGTCTCACTTGAATAGCTTGATCAGCCGAACAAACTTTCTCTCCACCCTCCCTTATGTTGGAGCAGATCTTTGTTAAAGTTTCCTTCCTCAGACTTTCTTGCAGTACCTGTGATTTTCTAGATACACTATAAGCCCAAAGGCCTCATTAGCACTTCTCATTCAGTGTGATGCTGTGATATGGTGTGAAGCGATACGGATAATGTTTTTTTTTCATTTAAATACATTTTATTTCCGGGGGAAAATGCACTTTCAGTGAAAAAAAGGTTTTGCAGATGTCACCCTGGACTTTTTTTGTTGTTATCTTTTTCAACTTGATCTTAAGATAATATTGACCTGTATTTATTCCATACTAATAGTCCGGATTTTCATGACCTTATAATACTTTTGCCACTTATGATCTTTATGAAATACTACAACGTTGAAATCCTTGATTAACACTTTTACATTTAAACTCCCAATAGTGTTATTTCCACTTAATTTGGTCATCTTGCGACCCTGTCTTTTCTTTGTGATTTCTCCCTCTTTATGGAAGTAGTTGATTTTATTTCTACATGTACATTTCTTGATTCACAATTTGAAAGATAAATGATCATAAAACGTTTTGATGCTGAGGGGAATTGTTTTGCAGCAGTTGCAGGTAAATGCAGGAAAGAGTGGCAACATAAATGTGTGATGAAGAGCTCAGCATGGGGTCAATGATCAGAGCTCATTGACCTCCATTGACTTGGATGCTGACACAGTAGGTGCTGCAGGCGCCTATGGATTGATGGGTTCTTCTTAAACTATGTTCACATGAATATGTTTACATTTAATCTTTCAAAGAAAGTCTGAGGACTGAGATGTTGTAAAGTTTGGAGTATAAGTATTTCACAGTGTGTGGAATGTTTTACTTCTATAACTATGCAGAGCTGACACGGAGAGTTATGACGCAAGAAAATTGTGAATTATTTACTGCAACACTAAATATGCACAAAGGTATCTGACAGAGCATGTTGCTTTTCTCACTGCGCAGAAAAGCTTAACCGTACCCACTCCCTTTTGAACAGTGATCATTGAACAAGTCAGAAATCACACACACACACACACACACACACACACACACACACACACACACACACACTGCAGACAGCTCTGCGTTCTCCCAAATGATTTTCAAAGGCTCTGCATCCATCCTGTGTTTGTTCTGCGCTCGCTCCCTGACTGCTCTTTCATCATCCACCCGTCATCTGAAAGGCATCTTAAATGATAATGTCTTAGCTTCCTTTTTTTTCATACTTAATCTCGCCTTCATGTTCACGCTCCATTTGGCTTTACGGCACAAAGGTGAATCATGAAAGCCTTTTTTGTTTCAGATTTGTGACATGTTCATTGCTTAAGCCCCCCTGCTCTGTGCCTCGGCTCTGCTAGCGGGGACCCGGCGTGCTACGCAACATGATTCTGCTGTTGTTCGAGCTGACTCCTCTTGGGGTGAAGACACAAAGAGATAGAGAGAGAGAGAAGACACCTCAATTTTACTCATGGGATTTTTCTCCTAAATCACCCAGTTGTTGTGTTTTCGTTGTTTCTTTTAATAAATGCAATTAGAGAATTGGCTAAGTGTTCCCCTCGGCCTATTAATTTCCAACAATTAAAGTGCGTGGTTCAACAAAACATATTGGCAACTTTCTTAAAGTGAGATTAATTTGGCAGGCAGGAAGCTGAGTGGGCCTTTGTGGATCTGGTTATCTTTCCTTAGCACATGGGTCTAAGCTCCCCAAGCCTGGTGGAACGAGGAGTGTGTGAGTGCAGACCGAGTGTGAGGCTATGTAGGTCATTTGGATGGTGTCTTCATCACAAGGTATTTAGATTGCTTTTCTTGATTGCCTGCAAAACTGTCGAGAAAAAGACAGTGTTGCTATTTGTCTTCCATGGCACTGCTTTAACATGTAATTGACTCCTGATTGTTTTCTATCTATTTTTGAATAACCAAAGATCCTGTCCTTCTTTTTTTAGCTCTCTGTCGGGCCGCATTGTTGGAGGCGTCTGGTGGTTCTTCACCCTCATCATCATCTCCTCCTATACTGCCAACTTGGCTGCCTTTCTGACAGTGGAGAGGATGGTGTCTCCTATAGAGAGTGCTGAGGACTTGGCTAAGCAGACGGAGATCGCCTATGGAACGCTGGATGCCGGCTCCACCAAAGAATTCTTCAGGGTGAGGAACCGAGACTCAAACATTCATTCAGACCATCAATGTCTACCTGTGTGACAGATACACAGCATTCCTGCTACTGCTTCATAAATTAAATCAACCCTGTGGTTAGCAGCCAGTTGGACGCTTTGAATGTGAAGAAGCATCAGAAGTTATTTTAGGAGTTACAGCAAACAGTAAGGCTCACATCCATAAGATAAAATTACTCACAGTAATACTGGATATCATGCATCCTTCATTTCCCGTTGAATCCAGCATAGGAATGGCCTGCTATGCCGCTAAAATGAAAATGACTATATAGTTAGCTAACTACAAAATGTACAAACATTAAATTGCTATTGAAAACAAATGCCAACCATAGAAAGTATTTCAAAATGATAAAATGGAACATTTAAAGTATTATAACAATAACACTAGAGATGCCCGATGGCAATTTTCCTCTTCAAATTTCAAAATCTGATTGGCCAATTCAGATTTTTGCTAAATCGATTTATTTTCTCTCTGAGAACTAAAATTGACAGTGTTCAGTAACCTTTAAATAAAAAATATTTAAAGAATTGTTTAAATGTAGTTGAAAGTTCATAATAAAACATTGACTTATCCAAAATGGCTACAGGTTGGGTGGTATTCTTGTTGTCAAACCCTTGTTAGGTTTTACAATCTTGATTTCTTCTTCATTCTTCACCGAAATTTAAAACTGATAGGCCGGTCACCAGTCGAGGCAGGTTCAAATTAATATTATTAAAATCTAATTATTTGATGAAAATGTAAATAATTATAGCTTCAAAACAGCATCATATATCTTTAACTTAGAGTATTCGCACTGACATTGTCTCTTTCTCTATCTTCCCATCTCTTTCTTCAACAATTCTGGCCTTCAGAGGTCGAAGATCGCCGTGTTTGAGAAAATGTGGTCGTACATGAAGTCGGCCGACCCGCCTGTGTTTGTCAAGACGACAGACGAGGGCGTGATGAGAGTCAGGAAGTCTAAGGGCAAGTATGCCTACCTGTTGGAGTCCACAATGAACGAGTACATAGAGCAGAGGAAACCGTGCGACACTATGAAGGTGGGAGGAAACCTTGACTCTAAAGGTTATGGCATCGCCACACCGAAGGGCTCCCCTCTCAGGTAAGCCCCTGCCACTGCAGCATGGCTAGATAAAAGCCTATAAGAGCTTTTAGTGGAGCTTGTGCATGAGCCTCATCCGTAACCTGTTGATTTGTCCATTGACCTTAGTTATTGAAGCCTTTATGCATATTTTTTATCATAATGGAACAACATTTCAGTATTAGTATCCTGTTTTGTGCTCAGAAATATAATGTATGGCATCCATTTGTACAGCTTCATTTAACTTGGCCTTTTTTTTGCACACTGTCACATTTACATCTTCATTATTCCAATGTTCAACACTACCAACCATCTTTAATTGTGCCTTCATATGAATGTATGCAGATAGCCTATTCATAGCTGACTTGTGAGCAGTAGCAGAAGTGTAAAGTAGGACTATGAGATGCACCATCCTGTTTAAGAAGCACTTGTTTTCCTGCTGCCATATAATTACATTCTAAACCTTGATGAGCATGTGTTGTCGCTGGTGACTGCTTTGAACCTGAAGTGTCCCCTTCAACACAAAGAAACTTGTACAAAATGTAAATGCACCTCTCACGAACCAGCAAGGCCTTTAAAAGCAGGATAACCATTTATGGAGGGCTTCAATCCATATGGCTACTTTTCCACTTACGCCAAGGCTCACACTTCGAATTTAATGTCAGCGGAGATGAATTTATATTTGCCACATTCAATGTGATAATGAATGTAATGAACAATAATTCATACTTGATGTGCTACCTTTTCATATTACATTAACACCCTAATCCAAGTTCCCATTCCTATGTTTCTTGGAACTACAGAGAGAGCGCAGGAGCTGGTGGCATCTGAAGCTTTTAATCTATCTTTATTAGGCCTCATTCAATGAAAACAGCCATATGGGGAGATTGTATTCAAACTTACTAAAGATACTTTCAGGCTTTCCACCTTGTTTGACAGCCCCAAGAAAGAGCCCGCTGTCTAGAGATGTCGTTAACATCTTATTCGAGGCTCCATTTCAATTTTCATTAAAAACACAGTTCAAGCAGCAACTAAGTGTTGTATTAGTGACAATATAACTGGTGGGAGTAATCTGCTCACAGGCCATTTCAGATTGGTCCAAACCTATAATGTAGCAATGTGCTGCTGTGTTGATCAGCTGAGGATGTCCCCATTATCTCTTTCTCTCTCTGTTAATGTGATATTTTATATTCTGTGGACATTCGCATATGTCTGATACTGAGTTTTGGCCACATATGACAAACATTCATGACTGAGTATGTTCCTAATAATTCATACATTTTAATGGTTAAAGGAGAACTTGACTACTTGTCACCTGGGGTCAGACATCAGGGGATGTCCACTGAATTCAAAGAGTTGGGTTCAATGATACCTGCAATGCATTGTTAATGCAACGATTTGCAATTTATTTGACTTTTTCTCTCTTTAAAACCTTTAACTCAGGCTCTAGTTATTATTTTAAATACATACCGTACAGTAACATACAGTTTACAATATTTGATTACTGGTGATGTGTATGGATAGAGGACTTACAAACAGCACAAATATTAGTCTGTCCATCCAACTTTTCAAACTAATTTCCGGGACAAAGTGCAGAAAATATACTTTAAGAAAACTTCCGTGCTTCCACTTTTGGTTATAAAGCTAAGTTATAATGACACTGTCAATATATTAAAAGCTTACGAATGTTTTCACAAGTGTAGAGTAACAGTAGTACCTTAACACATCAAAGTAAGCTCACTGCAGCACATAAACAAAGCAAAAAATAAAATATTTAATATGATACTCAATCTGCTTATTAAGGTCAGTATTGGGGCTGTTCTGACCTGACAGATCTGAGCCACTGGATATATGATAATACATATGAATTCTAACATGCGTATGGCAGTGCAGGTCTAATTGAAAGTAGCACTTTGAAAATAAAGATACTAAAATGACCTAACTCTTCATTTTACAGGATGTACTGATGACCTGTCTTCAAACTACACGTCTGTGAAATGTTCTGTATATATTCCCCCTGCTTCATTTTTACACGTATGATTTCCAGCCACCACCATGCCTGCCTGACTGTTAAACTCATCCCACCCTACATGCAGTACAGTAGCCTGACTGACATGTCTGCTCACTTCAAACGTAACAAGTGACCTGCAGGTCTCCATGTTCACTCACACTGAACTTTGACTTCTTTTATCCTGCCTGCTTACTCTGGGCTGAGAAAGAATTTAGAGGTTTTACCAGCTCCGAGGATACCTGTGTTCCCTACAGCTGCGTTGTTTAATAGGGTTAGGGGGGAAAGACTCTTCTGTGTCTGTTGGGAAGAAAGGCACAATACCAAACTCAAATTTTGCTCCAAAGAAAAATTGACACTGATTTGAGAGAAAAAACAATCTGGCAAAGGCTGTAATCTTCACTTCTTTTATGCAAATTCTGATTGCAGAGTGTGCCTTTCTGTGATTTGTGGATGGAGAGAGTCTTTGTCCGTGGCCCGTCAGTCAGCTATAGGAAATACACGCACACGCTCACCAGAGACAGAGAGCAAGCCTTGGGGAGATGCTTTGGATGAGCTGCTTCATATAGATTCACGATCAGGACTCCGTCTACAGTTGGCCACACAGTTTCCTTTCAGCCTGATTAGGAAACAGCTTGATGTGGAATTGAACCTGGCAGTTAAAACATTGAAAACCTCAGTCTGCATTTGTATCTTCTTACAGTTCAAAATGAATCAAGACAGGCTTCTATTCACTGAGAAGAACTTGTGGTTTGAATATTGATGGGTTAGTTACCATAGCAATCTGTATGCTTGTGCCACTGAAAGGAAATTACCATCTGTAGACCGACTTCCGCATCCAAGGCATCTCCATTCACAGTCTGTGCTCTGCCTCCTTCTGAGGCTCCTGATGGTAAAACCTGACTCTGCTACTGTAACTAACAACTAACATGCATCTAAAGACAACACTCCTGCTCCATATCAGTAGTCACATGCAGGAGTTTCAATGTCAATGTTTTCATAATCACCACCACCATGCGACCAATCTCTTTATATCTGTCCCATAGAGTGTCTCCTAATGGTTATCGTTTTATCATATTTTCAAGAAACCCAGTAAACCTGGCAGTGTTAAAACTGAACGAGCAGGGCCTCTTGGACAAATTGAAAAACAAGTGGTGGTACGACAAGGGAGAGTGCGGCAGCGGGGGCGGGGACTCCAAGGTCAGAGCCAGTTTGATAAACCCTGCGGGTAACCCACCACCACTGGGAGTGGGAAGTTGTGGGGAGGGGGGCAACCGGCAGGCCCACACTGCACTGCCACTCTAGCAACACTTAATCTCTCTGTGGTGTAGCGAAAGGGCAAAGAAAATGTGCGAAGGGGGTAATTATTTGGCCAGCGGTGGCTATATTTGCAAACCAAAGAGAGGGACATTGTATATCATGTCCCCTGCTTCAACTAAACCAGCATCGATGATTTAAAAGTGATCAGTGTTTATTAATTAAACCGTCTGCATCCCTGGTGCTCAATCGTGTTTTAAGAGCCCATGCTTCTATTTAGTTAAAATTAGATGTTAACTTTAGCAAATTACGCCTTTCACAGAAGATGCAATTGGGACCTCCGTGTTGCTTAAGTGACATTCGCAGTGTGCCGGTTACCCCGAAGTGATATAGTAATACACATCTAGTGTCTCAGGGAGCCACCGACCAAGCTAGATGGAGTATTAATGCATATCACTTTAACTCTGATGTTTATAATGATGTTTCTGTTTTATATACATGGGTGTGTGTGTGTGGTGTGTGTGAAAAGGTGTTGTTTTTTACATTTTAAGCAAGCATTAAAGTCTGTATGTAATTGCTGCTCTGTGTCTCTGAATCAATAACATAAAATAACATGGTGTAATATGTTATTTATGTTATTTTCTTATGGTTGGAAGAATCCCAGTAAATCTAGCGGTGTTGAAATTCAATGAGCAAGCCGTCTTAGACAAACTGAAAAACAAATGGTGGTACGATAAAGGGGAGTGTGGCAGCAAGGACTCCGGAAGAAAGGTTAGTCTCCGACCCAAAACCTGTCCCCTCACACCACCTCCAAGCACTACCCCTGATCCTAGACCAGCCCCCAAATCCAGCCCTCAGCCTCTATTACACTGAGCAGTACCCCCCATGTGGTTCTAGCAGTACTGCTGTATTGGCCCGAACATAAGGCAAACTCCCATGTACCAGTTTTGGGATAGACTTAAACATCGGCTGAACACTATACAGAACAATATACAGTAGGCAGATACACTGTGCTTAACATATTCAATTTGTTTGAATTGCAATAATTTTTACGAAAGGTTTTATGTATATTTATGAAAATACAGTTTGGGATTATTGACTATTATAGAGAATCAATATTTAAATCTGCTAAAATAAATTACTGAATTAAATCCTCTCGATTTAATAAAAAAAATGGTTTTAGTTTGAAAGTCCTACTGCTGAGAATAAATGATACATACGTGTGAGGCCGTGCGATCAGCAAGCACTTTTAAATGTGGGAATTTGTTTTATTGGGTTAGATATTTTTCTAGAATGACAGTCCAGTCCATTTGTGCTGTAACATTAACATGTGGCAGCAGAACTGTTCCATAAGTTAAACAGAGTCTGCCTGATTTGTAACTGGCCAATGCCAATAAAAAGACCATAGTTATAGAGCAGGTTCATAAAGTCAGCAGACTGACTCAGTTATGTCAGTTGAACCACAATATCTTTCTGGGGTAGGCACACATTAGCCATCAAAAGCTAAAATCATTGTCTTATATTCGGGCCAGTACTCCAGTGTTTCTCTTGTGTCTTTTTTTTCCTGCTGAGTTTGTTTTTTTCAGAAATGTAATGTTCATTGACAATGTGTAAATATAGATATTGTGTGGTGGATTAGTTAGGATTGTAAAAAATATTAAAACAAAATATTTGTTTTAAATATATAACCTCTGCTGTCACCTGCAAGTAAAAAGTGGTATGAGTAATTTGTATTCCACTTCCAGTGCCCTTAAAAATGCATTTCCAACCTTTCCAACATGCAGATCAAGTGTGATGATAACCTTGAGTTTGTACTGTAGATTGAATATTAATCAGTTTAAACGCAATCTGCAATTCCTTCCCAAGGAGAAAGACTAAGAAAAGCAACAGAGAAGGATGTGAGGGGGACAGATGATGACATTAGGCATTTGACTTTGCTTAACCTTTCAAACATGTTGATCTGTAACCTTTTGCGTTCTGGTCCTTATAATAATCCTGCCCCTAGCACTCTGCACTATGTCCATGTGTGGATGCAAACCCTGGCAATCTGTTAGAACGACCCTGAGTAACACCAAGTCTGCCACTGTGCTCAGTTAATGCTGTCTTTTGTTTCAAACAGTAGTTTTCCCTGACAGAAAAGCTTTTTCTCTTTAGCTTGGGTACATCTGAATGTGTTTGTCAGCTGGCCTTCTGAACTGTCAACACAGTAGGCTACAATTGCCAACCTTTTTTTCATCCTTTTCCTTACATTTGGATACTCAAGGACAGGTGTGAAATTATGTGCCATGACGGGCTGAAGAAATTGAGATTAATTTATCTAAGGATGTATCATAGAGTTCCATCTAAGTAGAGATTTTGTAGCATAAACAAAATAGAGTTTTGCTAGTCTACAGTCACATCTATATTTAAATGTACTCCGCAATGACATTTTAAATCCCTTATAGTAAAGATTTATTAATTTTGCAACATACATTGACTTGTAAGTTATCATTTGACAGTTTGGGAAATGGTCTTGTTACTTTGGAGCAGAAAGTTATATAATACGATTAATACCACTGAATACCGCTAACTACCTGAATGTAGCTAACAACAGCCAACAGCTAAAGTTAGCTTTGGCTAGCAGAAGGATAATCATGGGGAAAGCTCTGCTATCTCTGTCCCAATAGCCGCGTTCACACCGGAGTACTTTTCCCACTTTAGTTCCGATATAGTTCCGAAATGTCGCGTTCACACCAAAAAGAGCCGGAACAAAAATTAGTTCATGAGAACCTTTTTACCCCCTTTTCCGTCCCTGCTAGAGAGCAGGGACTCTCATGCGGCTCTCTTGTGAGAAAAGAGCTATATTTCTGATTGGCTGGGCGGATTGCAAACCACGCCCCATAAAACTCAAAAAGTGTTGTGAAGCCACCATTTTATTATCCTCGCATTAGCATTAGCATTAGCCCAGCGCAGAAACGCAGAGAGACTAATTTATGGCAACACAAAATAAAACATGGGAGCGATGGAGATGAGGAGGTGAACAACATAACGGGTTAGGGTAACGTAACCCGTGACAACAGAGATCAACAACCTATAACAGGGCCTATCACAGAATGCAGCTATTCAATACTCATTCTTGTTTAAGAATATGAGCATGTCTACTCAGGGGATAGGTGGGTGCGATTCACAATCAGGCCAGCTGTAGAGAAGACCCTCTCAGCTGGAATGTGGGCATAAGATCAGGTTNTAGATAACATCTTGAGAGTCCACAGATTATAGAAATATAAGGATCATCACCTCGTGTGTCGTCTGTATTTGCTTCCCCTGTCACGAGTTCTGATCGCTCAGTGATGATCCTTATATTTCTATAATCTGTGGACTCTCAAGATGTTATCTAAGCTTGTTTATGCAGATCCAATAAGTATATCGATCGGTATAGCTAGAGTTCTGTGCTAACGGCCTTAAGATTGTTTCGCTCGTAGCTAATTCAGAGGCTCGGCGCTAGCTTTATGGTTTTAAAAAAAAAAAGATCAGTTAGCTGAGTTTCTTCCCGTTACATGGATATGAAACATTCATTGTTTATTAAATACTAAGAAGCTCTCGGACGCTGTTTCCTGCAGATGATGCGTTTTTCCGCCCGGGGGCGGGTCGATGGGGTTCAACAGGTTAACTAGAAAATAGGCCTGTGTTTTTTCTTTCGTTCAGAATAACATTTCAAAACATCATTATAGGTTCTAAGAAAAAAAAATGCTATAATGATTAATCAAAAATATTTTTGTTGGTTTTCAATCTAATTCAGACCTGATAGTATAGTATAAAGATCAAAAAAAATTGGGCCATATTGAGCAAGTGCAACATGCAATACATACATATCATCGTGTCATTATGTGGTAGCAAACATGTTCTTATATCAGACCCTCCAGAAAAACGCGGGCAAAAATCCTTGATTATGCGGGCTAAAATCCTTGATTATGCGATTAAACATGCGGGGTTTTTATGTGATTTAATGCGGTGAAATTGCGGGAAGTTGCGAAATATGCGGAAAGTTGCAAAATATGCAAAATATGCGGGGGAAAAGAATAACAATTTTTTTAAATATTGGGCTGTCTTATTTATTCTCTCTCACACACCCTGCCACTAACGTTAAACCCCTTTATTATTCAATTAAACACATTCAATGTTTATTTATTTTAAAAGCAATTGGGCTATTTTAATCTCACACACACACCACACAC